GACTAACGGGGCGAACACTAATCGCAGAGTATTCAATTAATCGTTTGCTGATTCGGATCCCTGAAAGAAAAAAGGATCGATTTTTTATTATTGTTTTCCCGAACCTTTAAAGAAGAAATTTATCGATTCTAAGTGCTATGCCGTCACTCCCACGTTGGTCTCAAAATGTAAATAATAATATCGATATCATTAACGCTAACTTTTTTTAATAAATTAATTCTATATCAGATATTATGGGCGAATTTCATAGTTTACGTCAGAAAAAATTAATTAGTTCAAATATTATGCGTTCTACAACAACAGCTTATATAATGCATTTTTAATTCATAGAGTCTCCATACTTTAACGTTAAACAAAGATTTTACTTAGAATCCAGAATCTGTCATTTCAAACCAAAATTGGTTTGTGAAATTAGCTGTAAAAAATATAAGCTGTAAATTAATATATATATGGTTATTAATAGTACAAGCCATTTTTTAAAGTGGCGAGTGAATAATATGCGCGACATAAATTGTGCATGTACTGTACCGAACATCCGTTTTTTTTAAAATTTTTTTTGTTACAATTTTTTTTTTCTTTCACCTTAGTTTCAAATGTTGCATTTGCAAAGTTTTTGCATGAAAAGAGAAAGCTTATGTAAAATATAAAAAAAAAATATACCTCAATTTAATTTTCTTCATCTGTAAATTCATAAGTTTTCACATGGAAAACTATTTTATTGTACAGTCATTTAAAACTATCATATAAATCATGAGCTCACAAAACTCAAACGAAATAACGGTAGAATCATCGCACGGATATCAACGACCTTTTTTACCACCAAAACATCGCTATATGTCGAACTACCTTAGTACGCTGCATATAGACGCTGAATCTTCAACTGTTAACGGTAACATTGGTATATTTGAAAATAGTTTTACGGAAAGTCCCACTCTTTCAAATGGTGATATTACAAATGCTGGCGGTATAATTCTGCCTGTAAATCCTACGGAAGACGATATACTTATTGAGGATCAAGCTGACCCTTTTCTTTTGGTATCATTAAGTCAAAGACCACCTCCAAGACCAAAATTTGAATTTTTATTATATTTATTCGCTGTTTTGGATCTCGCTATCGTTTTTATTTGTTCTTATTTCTTAATCTATAATACTGAAACTGGAAGTTGGCATTGGAATAGTGCTAAATGGGATATGATTATATTAGCTATTTTTAGATTCATTGTTGTGTTAAAAGTTACTTCTTCCACTTGGATCAATAAATCGCGATATATTTTGGGTGGCGCTTGTTGTGTAAGTTATACTTGCTAATAATATTTTAGTCTATATCGAATATTATTTATTTATTTATTAAATTAAATTCACACTTTTCTTTATCCACATTACTATTAGATTTCTTCATTGTATATAATTTTTAAAGCAAATCTTCTTTTTCAACACAAACGTCCAATCCAAGAATATGGTCTGATCTTAATCGTTTCATCCTTCTTCTTTCTTCAAATACATTGGATAGCCAACGTTATTATCACAACTGACACTAGACATCGTGACTTGTTCCTACGTACAAACACTATTCTCTTCGAAGAAGAAACTAGCGATAATGAAGTACCTAGGGAACATGTTGATTTTTCTCGAAATGATACTCCATCACCTTTACCATACTATGGTGCAACTGATAATTATCAAAGTACTTCTACAGATAAAGGTGTACGCATTTAAACAAAAAAGTTTTATCCAATATTTGTGCAATGCACGTTTTCGTGTGGTTTAGTAACTCCTAAATTTATGACATGATAATACAGTGGATTCTTATTTGTTATTTTTTTTTATATATATTATTTGTACAAAAATATGTTTATATTTTCATATAATCATGAGAAATTATGTATAAATTTTTAACATATAGTCTGATCACTATTCTTTGTTAAATGAATAATACATGAATTGTTGAATATGATATATATAATATTGTATAAATAAGTTAATAATTACATTTCTGAAAAATATAACTTTGAATATTAAATATGAGATTTAATTTAAATTTCATAAAGTTTAAATAAACAGCTTTAACTCTTTTCTTTTTTATCATCCTTATATCCATCTTTAGGTCCATCATACGCTAAAATAATAAATTAATTTCATTAGTATCAAAATAATTTGTTTCAACTTTCACATTTAATGTTATAATATTTAATCACTAACCTGGAGGGGCATCATCAGGAATCATGAATCCACCAACAAACGATCCTTGAGATTGTCCGTAAGTTTGCTGTTGTTGATAACCTGAAGTTTGATAGCCTTGATAACCTGAAGGTGGTCCTTGCTGTCCATAAATAGGTTGTTGGTAACCGTATGGTGTTTGACCTGGATTATAATACTGTTGTTGACCTTGATAAAATTGAGCTTGTGGTGTATAACTTCCGTATGGTGATTGGTAATATCCTCCCGATGGCGGTGGTTGCTGTCCACCGGCTTGAAATGGTGGAACATGTGGTCCGATCAGAGGATCTGAAGATGTCTCATCAACCGAAGTTGATGAATTACTATTAGGGCGATTACTTGGATCTGAGAGTGGTGTTGTAACAGGTGCGCTAATTGATAAATTAGCAAGTTGATTCTTTATACTAGAAATTTCACTCTCTAATTGACCAACTTTATCTTCCTTTTGTTCAACCGTTGTCGATTTAGATTTAATAGTTTCCTCCAATTCTTTTACAACTTGACTTAATTTTCCTTTTTCAGTTGCAACACTGCTAATATCACTTTGGAGTTTAGAAATAAGTGAATCACGTTCTTTCAATGCAATTTCATATTCTTGTTTTGTAGACAACAAGGCATTATATTGCTTAATTTGCTCATCATATTGTCTCCTTTGAGCATCCAACGCAGCAGTCAGCTCGTTTGTTTTTGCCTCGGAAGAT